GCTGGTGCGCGGTTCTGCAGGCTTTGGCCTCACCCTAAGTGGGGGCCGAGATGTAGGAGGGGACGCTCCACTTGTGGTGCGCGGCTTGCTCAAGGACGGGCCAGCACATCGCTCTGGGCGTTTGCAGGTGAGCCCTAGGGCATCCTACATTCCTAGGTGTTATCTCTACCTGCATCAGGTGCTTCCAGCTCTGCCATTTCTACATCACTGCCCCCATGCTCTTGCAGGCCGGGGACCTCGTGCTCTATGTCAACCGAGAGTCAACGCAGGGCCTCACGCATGCCCAGGTGGTGGAGCGGATCCGTGCTGGAGGCCCACGGCTCCGCCTCGTGCTCTGCCGCCCTCTTGAGAGCCAACCTCGAAAGGTTGAGGGGATGGGGAAGTCCCAGAAAGGCCATGGTAGGTTTCCCAGGGCCAGGGACCTGGGAGGATTTGCAGAGTGGAGAGGCTGGGATCTTGGGTGGAAAGGATTTGGTGGCCTCCCTGGTGAACATCAGGGATTTGGCGTCTTGGTTGGGGGATGGGGTGGGTCATGGTATTCTCAAATGTGAGGGCAAGTCCTAGGATAGGAAATTCCGGGGGGGGGGCATTAGAAGTACTGGGAAAGTACTGGGAGGTAAGGGATCTGGGGGGTTGGGGAGGGGACAGTGCATGGGCCGAAGTAAGACCTAGTTCTTGGGGGAAAGGCAGCATGGGTCTCAGCCGGGAGGATACGGGATGGAGATCTAGGGGTCTAGTGCTGAAAGACAAAGGATCCACAAAGGTAAGAATTGGGAGTGAATGATGGTAGGATAAGAGGGCAAGCCGGAGGTCCTACATGGAAGAGGTTGCTTCTCCTAAGGTCAAGGTTGGGTTCCAAATTACATTGCAGGCCGTGAGAAATTATTTGAGGGGCATGTCCTGGATCTAGGAGGGAGGGGTGTCGGGAAAGGAGGTGTCTGGGGTTGTGTGGGGCATCCTGGTCTGGAAGGGCATCTCCAGGGCTTGAAGGGTGTTTTTCCTAACAGATGAGGTCTCCATCTCCTGGAGCCCTTGATATCTTTCCAGTACACTTGGCCAAGGGCCTTGATTTCCTCTCCTCCACTCCATTACCCAATTTAACTGCAGTTGCATTATCTTCAGATTGCAGCCCAGATCCTGGGGGACCAGAAGTGATAAAGTCCCGCGGCTGCACCAGCGCTTCCCCAGTTCAGCCCCCTCCATTCTCCACCACGCCTAAGACTTGGAGCAGCAGCTCGGAGCCTAGTCCAGAGGTGACGCTTCCTCCTCCCGAACGCCGCACGGAAGACCCAGAGGACCACATCCCGGGTTCCCCAGGGCCCTGGCTGGTGCCCAGTCAGGAGCGCCTCTCGCGGGCCCTAGGGGTCCCAGCGCCGGGACAGCTCGCTCAGGAGGTGGCAGCTGGAAGGCGGAGGCACTGAGCATGCAGCAGACGGCTCGGTGCTCAGCTTGGTAGTGCCCAGTCTGGATCTGGCGTGTGCCCCGACAGCCGGGTACTAGAGAGCTTCCTCTGGATATCTGGTCCCCTCCCATGCTACAGTCGACCGTCCCGCACTCCCCTGGCGGCGCCAGTGGTACGGCCCTCCCCAGCCCCGCGCTTCTGGTTCCAGGCGGGGGAGCTAATAAAATGCTTCTATCTAGTCTCGACTTGCCAGGTGCTCCAGGCGGGGTGGGGCCGTCCAGTCCACCGTGTAAAGGAGGGATGGGTCGATCCGGTTTCGAGGAAGGCTTTTTTTTTTTTTTTTGTAACGAGTGACAAACTTCGTGCTGTTGCTTTCATATCTTCTAGCAATCGTCAGCCTGGCGCGTTTTCTCCACTCCTTTCCTCTTCGCCAACTCCTGCTTCTCTCCCATTCATTCATTTTCTTGGGGGTGACCAGGGGGCTCACACAGAATTCCTGCGTGTGGCGTGGCGGAGGGGGATGCCGAGGTGGTCCTGTTGTGGTGGCAGGAAAGCCCCCTCCTCCCCACCCCGCAGATCCTCAATCCCGCCTGGGGATCGTCCGGGCCCCTTCAGCTGTCGCCGGGCTGGCACAGAGGCGGTAGCAAGCGCGGCTTCTTTCACCAGCAGCTTGCGGTCTTCCACTTCCGGCCTACCAGGCCAGCTTTTGCTGACACCCTAAGGGCTGGAGCAGAGGCCCAGGAGCCCCCTTTGGGGGCGGAGCTGGGAAGGTGTGAGTCAGCGTCCTGGCAGGCCAGGCTAAAAAAAGGCTGGTAGAAAACCTTTGGGCCGCACCCCCCTTGTCCATAGATGGTGACAAAACTGTAGTGGGCGCTTCTGTGCACACGCAGCGTCCTCCGGCGCAGGGAGAAGCCCCAGAGTTTCCTCCACGCTGGGAAGCCAGCCCCACAGCAGGACTCCTGCAGGGGTAGCCCCCAGCTGGGCTTAGACCTGGCCTGTTACCGCAGCTATCAGCATATCTTGAACACTGAGCCCTCCCCTCCCCAAGGAGGGAAGCTGTGGTCAAACTGGAACAGGCAACTTTCGCCCCTATGGACAGGGCAGAGAGTAATTAAAGGACCAGGATGTAGGTCCCCGTGTGGCCCTGGAAAGCAGCGAGGGACTGCGAAGCCGAGGGGGGAGGGGTGGGGTATAAAGAGGGGAAGAGGTGAACATTGGCATGATTAGCGCTGTAGACATTGCGGGGGAGTGTGCCGCCTGGGCTTCCAGCTACCCCTGACTCAGCCTGGCAGAGGTGTGGCTCTGCAGGAAAAGGCACGAAAAGAACCTCCAGCCCCAGTCCTATAAACACAGTCACACCCAGGGGGCTAATAATAGTAACCCCAGCCACCACTTCACTTAGCCCTCCTTTTGTTCCTGGCTTTATTTAAATACTTATTTTCATCTAGTTACGCAGGTATTCAGTGACACTATGTTCATTTCACAGAGGCGGAAACTGAGGCCTGGACAGTCAAAATGGCTTGGGACAGGGAGTCTGAAAACAAGATTTGATGGAGGCCTGATTTCTAAGCCAATTCTCTTAATCTTGCCTGCATTCTGCAAGTATTAATTGAACAGCTGTTATCTTGCAGTTAAATGTCATAGGTACTATGGAGATGCTGAGAGAACACGCCATAACTGTTTATTTTTTTTAAAGGGATCATTTTGAAAGGCAGAGTTGGGGGGGTGGGGAATGAGGAGAGAGTTCTTCCATTTTCTGGTTCATTTACCAAATGGTCACAACAGCCAGGGCTGGGCCAGGCCAAAACCAGGAGCCAGGAGCTTCTTCTGGGTCTTCCACGTGGGTGGTAGGGACCCAATCACTTGGGCCATCTTTTGCTGCTTTCCCAGGTGCATTAGCATGGAGTTGGATCGGAAGTGGAGCAGCCAGGAATCCAGTCAGCACCTATGTGGGATGCTGGGGTCACAGGCAGCAGCTTAACCCACTAAGCTGCAATGCTGGCCTAAAAATTTCTATCCTTGTGCAGCTGTTGTGATGGGATTAGACAGATGTCAGACAAGAAAGAAAAAAATGAATAAATAAAATATAATGTCAGAGTGACAAAGGCCTCAAAAGGAAATTATGTTGGCGAATTAGGTTGGTGGTTATAAGGGCTGCTAACTTCTTTGAAGACAGACATTTGAGGGGGAACTTGAATGACCAGAGGCCACATGTAAGAAGAGTTGGAGGAAGAACTTTGACAGCAGTGGGAGGAGCAAGTGCAAAGGCCCTGAGGTGGCCAAGTTTGTGTTGGTCCAGAAACTCAGGCATATTCTCACATAGCTTGGAAAGCATAAATTCAGCACTGGGAAAAGTCTGTTTCATTCCTCCTCTATTCAATTACTCCTTTGGCAACCTGGGCTGAGAGAGAGGAGTCCTTTCATTGTGGGGGACCTCTTGTTTGAGGGGGGAAGGGCAGGCAGGCCCTTGGGCTGAGCCCTCCTTGCCCTGCAGCTATTCCCAGAATTGAGGTTCATGTTTCAGATGCAGAAATTCCGAAATTCAGGCTGAGCCCGAGTCGGGGTGGGATTACTTGCTCAGGATAGAACACTGCAACTGTCATCAGCTCGTTCACTCAGCCATGCACCCTGGGAGCCATCCCCTGATCTTGGCAAGCTCCCAGCAATAAACTTATGCCCATTTCCCCATTCGCCATCTAAGAGCTGGGTCCACAACCCCTCTCCTTAGAACGAGAAAACGAGACCAATGCCCGCCTCCTGTTACTGAGCTGTTTGAAGTTCCCCAGCAGGATCGCATTCTCATCTCTGCTAAGAGATTAGTCCCGCAGCCTGGGATGCTTTATCTGCTATTTCCAGGTCGGAAAAAACTCTGAAAACCCACTGTTCCCCTCACTGATCTGGCCCCATTTGGCTACAAAACCTGACCTGATCCTAACAAGGAACGGGCTTCAATCCTCCTTATTATTTGTGAATAGTCACATTCTCCCTTAAGGAACTCTTAACGTGTTTTGCTGTTGTTTTAACGTCAGCAGTCCCAGCCCCTGATGAGAGTGTTAAGGAACACACCATATACGCACGGGGAAAAACTTTCTAAAATTCCAAATATTCTCCATTCTAGAAACCTG